ACTAATATATCTTTTAATACAATATCCCAGGTAGATAAAGATAATTTAGAGGCACCCATTACCTTGAAAGCATTGGAACTAGCGGTCACTAGTTTTCCAAATGGTTTTCAAAAGTTCTAGCAAATAGATTATCAAATATAATTCAAACAATAATAAATCCTCATCAAAGTGGCTTTATGCCTATTCGACAGCAGACAATATAAGGAGAGTGTATTTAAATATGCAAGTGCCATCGGAGCAAATAGTTAAAAGAGCTCTGCTGTCTTTGGATATTGCAAAAGCTTTTGTACACCTTACAACCATCGCACGACTTTCGTTGTGCGATGGTTGTAAGGTAATTAAAATCTCGTACGATCTGCCCATCTTGGACAGGCAGATCGTACTTGCGATCATCGCAAGCCCTCCCCACCGAGGGGAGGGCTTCTGATGATTCTAATGCTGAGCGGGAAGTGTGCGCTCGCGCACAATGGCCCGTTCGGCATTTGTCTTCCGAGCACGCCACTAACCCGCCGAAAAGCGTACCATTCTCGGCGGGTTTTCGAGCGTGCTCGAAAGACAAAAGACTTGCGACCGTACAGTAGAAACGGTCGCACGCCTTCCATAACCTGCCAATTATCGTACGATTGCGGTATCACCCGCGATTATCGTACGATAATTGGCAGGTGTATGGGCTTAAATCAATGCTTCTTCCGATAAACCCAATGCAGGGCCCTTTACCTATACAATTGCAACATGCACAAATTGTGGATTTATTTTTGTATATGGGAGTTTGGATTAGAGTAAATAGTCTAAATTATTTGGAAGACAATCTAACATCTCTCCTGCAGAAATTCCGGAAACAAAGTAATACATGCTGTAGGCTTCCCCTGTCACTGGTGGGTAGACTCAATCTTATTAAAATGATCTGGATGCATCAGCTCTCTTATATACTGCATAACTCGCCATGTTGGATAACTCAAAATATTTAGGTGGATAAATTTAGTTTTTAGAGAGCTGATTTGGAGGAAGAAGCAAGCGCGTACAAAGTTGGAGATTTGACAGTATCCCAGGGGGGAAGGGGGTATAGCGCTGCCTAACCCGTGGATATTTTTCTTAGCGGTACAACTGACACCTAGCGGGATGGCAGCAATTAGGGAGAAGTTCAGGGGTACATGTTAATATTAAATATCTCTTTCAAGCAAAAGACCCCTTAATGGCCTTGGAGACAACTCTGTATATGAAGGAATTTTCACATTTGTCCACAATAAGATTGATCCGTAAAATATGGAAGTCAATTAAAAGTCTGTTGAATATCCCCAAGTTTACAATATATACTCCAATATGGGAAAACAGAAATATCAGAAGTGGTTAAACTGCAGGGATTTGGAATGTGGAAGAGAGCGGAGATTTTGAAATTAGCACAAATATATGACCAAGGTACATTGCAAACTTTTCAGTCTTTACAAACGGAATATCTACTGCCGAACTCCCAGTTTGATAAACTTATACAACTGAGACATGCGCTTAAAATACATCCAGGGATATGTGATGTTTATATTGGTTTAAATAAGGGTATAGATACACTCTTCAAAGCAACCAGATTATACTCCGATCTAGTCCCAGGGGTGTTATGCTGATCACCCTTGAAGTGTAGAGAGGGGTGGAAAAAGGGATCTGGGTCCCATAGAAGATAATATATTGGAGTGGAGAAATTGCAAGCAATTCAGTTGGTGTCACCATCTGCCTCTCATAGCTTAACACAATTCTATATCATCAGTAGGACAGATAGGACTCCAGAGTTCCTGTTTAAAATTGGGCTAAGGGAGAACTCTAAATGTCCGAAATGTGGTATTGAACCAGGGTGACTGATACATCTGCTATGGAGATGCCCGAAATTAAAGCACTATTGGATGAAATGTATGTAATACATGGGGCTTGGATTTCTAATAATCCCTTGACGTGTATACTGGGTGTATATGAGTCCTCACATTTAGAATACTATGAGAAACTGGCTATAACAAGAGCTTTATTTGTAGCTCGTCAAATTATAGCATGTGGGTGGATCTCTGCAGCAACACCTACTAAAGGGGAGTGGAAAAAAGAACTTGAAAGAGTGGTTGCATATGAGAAAATAATGTCAAAACATTGGGGCATTTTAGATAAGTACAGAAAAATATGGGAAAAGTGGAATGCATATAATGTCAATGTATCTATATAATCTGAGAATTTGAATATAAGTGACCAAGTACAAGAAAAAAAGCATAATTGAATGTACTTAATTTGGTTTCTGGATATTGATGTATGTTTTTATAGTTAATATATTGAAAATTAGCTTTTTCTTTTTTCTTCATTTTCTTTGCTTTGTAAGTCTGAGTTGTTTTTTGTTGATATGTTTTGATTGCGGATATATGTGTTATATATGGTTGCATATTTTACAATGATATAATAAAAAAAAAAAGTTAAAGAAAAAAGATTGCTCCCATGGCTGATCACAAACGAGACACTCAGGCTTCCCTCTCTTCACACCTTCACATCCCGCATATGGCCTCAGGCTCCTCCCATGAGTATTTCACCACCAATCAAATATGGGATGGATTCATGTGGTATGGGGGGCCATTTTAGACAGGGGAGGACTGGGAACATTTGGCTTGGGGGCAATTGTCCCCCTGCACCTCCACCCAATCCACCCCTTTCCTCAGAAAAAATTGTCACATGCACCGTTTAAGAGGTCTCATTGGAAGTATGCAGTTCACTTCAGTATATAAAACCAGGGTATCCAATGAGAACTGTGCCTAAAAGAAAGAATGAATTTGGCTTCAGAGATTGTGTTTTTGCTTTTGTGTAGTCTAACTTATTGCTACTGGTATTTTTATAGCGCCAACAATTTTACGCAGTGCTTTACATCCACATCAGTCCCTGCCCTGAGGGAGCTTACAATCTAAGGTCCCTATCTTGAATGCATACAAACGTGGGCCAATTTAGACAGGAGCCAATTAAGCTACCAGCATGTCTTTGGAGTGTGGAAGGAAACCAGAGTTCCCAAAGAAAATCCATGCAATTACAGGTAGAACCTGGCCGGGATTCATAACAGGCACCCCCAGTGCAGGCAGAAGCGCTAACCACTATGCCACTGCACTAATTTGCCTTTTCTTTAGTGATGGGCCAAACTTCTTGGGTTTAGTTCATGCCCGCTCTTGGCAAACATGTCAAAAAGTTTGCAATTAGCAAACTTTGATGTGAGCCATATAGAAGTTAATGGGAGGCAAATTTTCTAAATTTCAAGCCTAATAGGCAAGGGATTGTAAAACAGTGGGCATGGGTAGCTGGGCACTGGCTAGGAGGCAGGTAATAGCAATGCAAAAAAATGTATAAATATATTGTTCGTCGGGGAGCAGCTCTTTTAAATAAGGCTTAAAGGGCAACATTAAAAACACAAAATGCATTTAAATAACATGCTGGTGAATGTTTTAAACCTGCATGTGAAGTGGTGCAGCAAATTGACACATTACATCAGTGACCTTAAAGTACCGGCCCATGGTCCAATTGCGGCCTGCGAGCCGGTACTATGTGGCCCGCAGCCAGCTGACACGGACCGCGTTTCCGACTTGTGGGAGCAGCTTCGCGGTCTGCATCTCTGTCCGATGCAGACCGCATAGCTGCTTCGGTGCCGCACTCGGATTGATTAGTAAGGTCTGCAGCAGACCTTACCAATAACATCCCAATGTGCTGAAAAAAAAGTACTGCATGCTGTACTTTTTTTCAGTCGACACCGACCCAATGCCCTGCATTGTGCTGGTTTGAACTGAGCCCATCCATGACAAGGCAAATTGCATTGTCTTGTATTTGTGCTCCGTTGGAAAAAACAGCCAGCGCATATGGTGTGAACCCGCCCTAAAAGTTTGATTGCTTTTAATTGTTCTCAGTGATTGTTTTAGGTAGATTCACTCTAATGTCTGTCCTGGGGACCATTGCTACTCGGACAAAAAGGGAGGGAAAATGTTACAATTGTCACTAGAATAGGAGCAGAGGGGAAATCAACAACTGAACCAGAAACTGTCCAAGAAAGGATCTCCCTTAAATTTGGGGAGATTTTCTCTCATGCTTTGTTTTATCTTAAAAGAGGTTCTAACTGTCTTACATACTACAATTAGAAAATAAGTTTTGGCTGGTGTTTTAGTTTCTGTGCTCTGAGAAATTAGATATCAATCCTAATCAAGAAATCCACTTCATGTTAAGAACATACACCATAGATTTAATTAAACAAATATATTAATATTCAGAAACAGCATGAGCATTCATATGAAAAACAATCAACATACAAAAGTACAAAAGGTAATATTTTTTAAAGCAGATAAAAATAGGTTTACCTTTTAAATAATGAAACAAACATATGACATATATACAGTACGATATGGTCTACAATGATTCAATAAGTACAGGAAACGTGATCTTGTTTAACAGATCAAGCTTTCATTTGACTATATTTTGGACAAAAAAACTACTAGGGAATTAATAAGGCTTAGGATGGGAAGCTGTAGTTGTATTTGAGATTGAAAATTAAATTCATCCAAAAAGCTATTGCTGTGTGATTGGGGTGCAATTCAGCAGAAGTTGAGTTTTAAAGCTTGTACTTTATTGCTCCAAATATTGGAATATTGTGCCTTAGTGAACCAATCTGAGAAATGTATTTATTGAAAACTGGATTGGAAATGAATACTATTTCAAACATATACAGTATGTAAACCATGTAACCTAATATGTTGCACAAAGTTTATCAAAATAAGTTTATCAAAGTTGCACAAATTTCAAAGCTGGAGAAATAACTATTGTCTAAATCTGTATGTCATTGTTTGGAGTTATCCCCAATAAGCCTTTTCTTGCAAATCTTAGTCTAGAATTGTGATGACCGCGTCTTCTTAATTACTAAAGCTTCTCATAGTACAGCAGAATGTTCTTTTGTGTAGAAATGAATGTGGGTTTAAATAAATGTTAGCAAAACTCAGCTTGAAACACTTTTCCATTTACAGGGAACTGAGAATGGGTCTGGAATACATATTAGTATAGTAGCCTGCATCGTTAGAAGATGATGGCATGTCCATTACATTTTTCGAGGTCATGTTATGATAATCAGAAGTGTAGTTCTGGTAGTGGGCAAGATGATCTGTAGTTGGACACATATCAATCTTACTGGAGTATGTGTGTGCATTTTCAGAAGACATTAGTTGTGTTATAGAGAATGGGTGCCTCCCAGCAAATGGCTCATGCTTCATCTGGGCATCTTCTCCTACCATGCCAAGATAACTGTCACTAGAAAGACTCATTGGGTATAAGAGTTGTGATGAAGACCCGCCTTGTTTAGAGTTAGGACTGATGCCTGCTGGTGAAGGCCCATTTAGTTGTGGGATTGCCACTGATGAGTCTCTATCACAACTGTTAATTGCATTTTTTGGAGAGTGTGAAGAGGAACTCTCATCATAAACAGCTGGAGTCTCTCTCAATCCGGCTGACATCTCATCTCCAGATTTGTTAGGTTTTTTTTCCGAATCCCCAGTCCTAGACTTTTCACACTTGAACCTCTTTTGTCTTCTCAGGTAGCATCCATTTTCAAACATGTTTCCAGAGTCTGGGTGAAGAGCCCAGTATGAGCCTTTTCCTGGTTTCTCTGGTGAGCGTGGAACTTTAACAAAGCAGTCATTAAATGACAAAGAGTGACGAATGGAGTTTTGCCACCTCTGCTGATTTTGTCTGTAGTAAGGAAAAAGGTCAATGATCCACTGGTAGATCTCATTCAGAGTCATCATCTTGTTTGGGGACTGTTGGATGGCCATTGTTATAAGTGAGATATAGGAATATGGAGGTTTGGCATGGGAATAATTTCTCCGGTAGGTTCGAGGATCCCTCTGAAACTCTGTTTCTCCTTGGCAATAGCCCAATGGGTAAGCAGAAGAAGATGCCGGAGATGCTGTTGGCCCTCCCATATTGTGGCCTAGAGAGTTCAGAGAGCTCAGATTATTCTGGATGCTGTTTACAGGCCCTGCCATGGTATTATTCATGTAGGTCATTGTTGGAGTTATAGTTGAGACATCACTGGACATGAAGGTATTGTTTTGAAGACCATTATTCATGTTATGTATTCCAGAATATACCTAGAAAAATAAACAAACATTAGAACAAATTAATTTGAGATGGTCTCTTTCAACATCTCTTTCCAAAGTGTGTGCACTGAAGAATAATTTAAGCCTGAGACACATTTAGACTTAAATAACTTGGTATTCTACATGTATTTTATATGAGATTGTATGATTAAAAGTCAGTCTAATTATGGTTACTCTTTTATATCAAAATACAAAATATTTTTGTGACACTCAAAACAACTGATTTGGTAAGGTAAAGTCATTTTGTTGCCAAAAGCATTGTATTGAAACTGTGAAAGAGCAGTTGAACATGTATCTATTGCCACACTTTACCATATATTTTCTTATTGTCGGATTTATAAAATAATAATCCTTTAATTTTTACATTACTGTTATATGTTTGAATGTCATACTTTCTACAATGTCTATGCATTTTCTATTTAGTATTGCTATGTAATATGCATGCTCAGATATTTAGCATCACTGTACAGTGTTGTCCAACTTTTCCTGTTGGCAGTAATATACATAAAAGGATTACACTCTCCACAAAGAAGTACTTCCTTCAGTCTCTATCTAGGCATTCATAATGAACTTGTACTTTTCAGACATCTAGTGTTGAATAACAATGACATTTAATTGCCTGCTAAACATTGCCTTTCACCTTCACAAACCAAATGTAAATGGCAGTGCTATGTGTATTCCCTGAAATATTTTGTCTTACAAGAATTTGCAAGATGAGCATAGGTATTATTAGTTTAAAATGTTTATAAAAATGTAATGCTCTTTTACTCCAACATCCAAGCAAAACCTAAACTATATTTGATTCAGCAATGCAACGCACATGCGCTAGTCATCTTCATATACTGTCAGTGTTAATAGACAAATTATTCAATAGATAAGCTTGGAGAGAATTGTGTGTGTGTGGGACAGGAAACCTAGCCTCACTACATATATATATAT